GCATGACCACATACTCATAATGGTCATATCTCAACCTGAACGTCGTCTTCTGTACATCCTCTTCTTTAACTAGTATCTGATGGTATCCAGATCTCAAATCAATCTTAGAAAAGACTGATGCTCCTTGTAATTGGTATAACAAATCATCAATCATCGACAACGCGTATTTGTTCTTGATAGTCACCTTGTTTAGTTGCCGATAATCAATACACAATTTGGAGCTCTCATCTTTCTTCTTTACTAGCAATACAGGAGCTCCCAATGGAGATACACTCGGACGAATGAACTTATTTTCCAGCAAATCCTCTACCTGTTTCTTCAATTCAGCCAATTCTACTAGAGTCATCCGATATGGTGCCATAGAGATTGAGCCTGAACCTGGAATTAGATCAATCCCAAATTCGACCTCTCTCTGAGGTGACAACCTTGCTATCTCATCTGGAAACACATTAGGAAATTCACTCACAACCGATACCTCTTCTAGTATATTATCCTTCACTTCATCCATCTGAGTCAGGATCAGATAACACTGAGCTCCCTCTCATGGCTCTTTCTGAACCTGCCGAGTTGATGTAATAAGCTCATTTCCTGATTTTGGATGCATCAATCTCTTTTGTCCATAGTCAATCAAAATGTGATTGGTGGATAACCAATCCATTCCTAAGATGGCATCTAGATCCTTCAAAGGTAAACTGATTAAGTTCACTTTGTATTGTTGTCCTTCTACAACAACTGGGCACTTCAAACACACATAAGAAGACACCATCAGTCTAGTTGTTGGGGTAGATACCCTCAATTCATAGGGTAGGTCACATACAAGTAACTTAAGTTTATCCATACAATTATCATCAATAAAATAATGGGTAACACCTGAATCAAACAAAACTCGTAGAGGTATATCAGATATAAAACACACACCTTGCACTAAATTCTCTGACCTCGATACCTCTGCTCCTGATAAGGCAAACACCCGCCTGCAACTCTGGGTTTCGCCTCACTCCCCCTGGGTGCTAATGATGCCCCAGTTGAGACTATATCACTGGGCTTCTGTGGACAATCTCTAGCCATATGTCCTGACTTCTAACAAGTGTAGTAAAGACTTGCCCAAAAAGTCTAGGAAGGAGTAATGAAGACATTCTGTGGGCACTGATTCCTATAATGAGGGCTTCCACATTGAAAATATTTCACCCTGGATATAGATCCCGATGATCGGGGTGCTAAGGTAACGCTGCCACTCCTGGAAGACTGGGGGTGTGAATAAGGCATCCTCCTCTCTGATCTACTACCTCCACTCGGGACCCCACTTGGGTGGGTCCTCATCACTCTGACTCCTCCCTCATGGAGTCTCTCTATTGTCTTTGCTTTCTCCACCAGTTCTGAGAATATCCTGATAGAGAAAGGAACCACCATGAGTTTGATCTTAGCCCTCAAGCCCTTCTCAAACTTCCTGCAAAGCCACTGCTCTGAAGATGTACTTGTGTAGAAATGAGATAAGTATTCAAATCGTACGGCGTAATCATGCACCGTCATATTGCCTTGTCTCAAACTCAGGAACTCAATATCCTTCTGAAATCTAACACTGTTAGGGAAGTATTTTTCCAAAAACCTCTCACGGAAGGTTTCCCAATTACACACCTCCCCACGTGCAATCATCATCCTCTAAGTCCCTGACCACCAAAACTCAGCCTCATCCACTAGTAAGTATTTTTCGAATGTCAATTTCCTGTCCTTCGGGCATAAGGTAGCCTAAAAAATCTTCTCCAATTCACGTAGCCACTTCTCTGTTACATCTGGATCCAAATCTCCTCCAAAACGAGGCGGATTATGCCTCATGAACTTAGTCAGCCTCATCTGCTCTAACTGGTGGAATCCAGCAGAGGATGACGCCATAGTTGGCCTCCACTTCAAGTAGGTATCCTGTTGCTGCATGACAGCTGCTAACATTTCCATTACCTTGGCTAGGGCATCTACACTCGACGAAGTAGGAGTAGGAGGTCGTGGTGCCATCCTATATCAAACACAACCATAAATACAAAGCAAACATTCACGCACACTCACATATCAGAGTATAATCACAACAGACTTATCATAGGTTCACTGCCCATCCCCACAGATTTACAAGGATACTATCGCTCTGATACCACTATTGTAACGACCCTAGAAATCGCTACTATAATGATATATTTGCAAAATAGTAAACAAGTAAATAACAATATCTATATTACATTATATTACTGTAATTGTAATATAGATTGAAATCTTGGTTCATTAGCGGAACCTCAAAACATAGTAACATAATTTATTTATATAGATACATGCAAAATAGCTCCCACAAAGTTACCCCACTGAACTATCCCTGTTGTCTAGTAGTCGCATCTCCACCTCTCAACTCCTGATCTGCTCCCATATAAAAGTGATTATCGCAGTCCCATCCACGTGAAAAAATAAGGGTAAGTATTAAATCATTCAATATAATAAAACAGATATAAGAGGAATAATTATATATTATCATCAATTACAAATTATCAATACACTAAGACGCCTTCTAGAAGTCTACCCTAACTATGTCCGAACTCAGAAGCTATCATCTGTGGGCACATTGTGATCGACACCCGCAGTACCATTCTGACCACCCTCCACATAGAGTAGGATTACTGGCGCCCTTCATCACTCATACTGTAGTACCCCTCTAAGTGCGCCTCCAGTCATTCCCCCATCGACTTCTCACCACCTGATCTCGTAGTCTACCTGACCCGACCAATCAGTGAAGTCTAGGACCTCATTCAAAATCCTCCGACATAGTTATTACACTAATGTACTCTGTACCACCCCGGGTACCATTCAAACACAACAAAAATCATTCACATCTGCCGGATTCTGGACCACCTGTCCTCACTACTCATTTGGGTCAATAAATAATAGTATTTGACTAATTCTGGGCACCAATCCTCCGGTTCAGTCTAGCCAATACATAACATCTCATGACTGATTCTAGGCATCAGTCCTTAGACTCAGTCTGACCCACACACCTCACAACACACTGCTGAATCTTTAAAATTTCTAATTTCATTCTATATTTTAATTATTTTTCTTAACATACATTTACTTTATTCATAAAATTCCAATTATACCTTAAAATATTTTCTATTATTCCTTTTTCATCATGAAATTATTAAGTTACTCTTTTGCCCTTAATCTTTTCTTAAAATTCCATGTATGTCCCTAAATGACTATTTCACCCTTGGATATTTTTGAAAATTCCTTCCATATCCTGAAAATGGCTATTTTACCCTTGAACATTTTCGAAATTTTCTTCCATGTCCCAAAAATGACTATTTTACCCTTAGATATTTTCAAAAATTCCTTCCATGTCCTGAAAATGACTATTTTATCCTTGGACATTTTCGAAAATTCCTTCCATATCCTGAAAATGAATATTTTACCCTTGGACATTTCGAAAATTCCATTTATGTCCCTAGGATGCAAAATGACTATTTTACCCTTGATGTTTTTTAAAAATCCCCACCATATCCATTTCTTCTTCCTCCGTCCAGTAACCATGCCAAATTTTGCCAGATTTATAATTTCCATGTTTCAGGCAACCAAACTAGTTCCAAATCAAAATAAAACATGAAATATGTTCAATTTAAGTAAAAAATGACTATTTATTCATATAATCCATCCTTAATTTCAAGAATTTCAAAACTTTCAAACCAAGAACAGTCATCAAAATCAGATATTCAAATAATTCATATTTCTATTCCTATTCCTTATTCACATAGTACCCAACAATTTAGTTTCATATATTGAATGAATTAAACTTCCCCTTACTTGATGTTGTATTTCTACCGAAGTTTTCCTACTTAATCCAAGTTCTCTTCCGTTTCACTAGATCCTGCACGAGTAGAGTCTCGTTGCTTGAAATTTAAACAAAAGAAGAAGAAGGATGAGAGGGAGAACTACTTGCTGAAATTTCCTGCCTCCTCCACCCTTTCCGTACATACATATATAAAAGAAAATTTTTACTATGCATGAGCGAAATTTTCTTGCACAATAATATTATTATAATATATAATAATAAAACATCACGTCACATTAACAATATTCTTAGGTGTTAAATAATTTTTTTTTCTTTAAAAGTGTATTTTTTTTAATTTAATCTTATAATATTTTTGTTGCATTTTTAGTCCTTCCTTTAGTTTTTATGAACTATTTTAGTCAATAAGGTTAAATTGAAACATTCAATATACTCACGTTAACAATTTCTTTTAGAAACTAAAATATGGAAGTCACAAATGACATAAAAATATCAAATAGATTAAAAAATAGCCATAGAATATATTTCAAATTAATTGGATTTAAATCTCTATTTGATTTGTTAATGCATATTTGTTTTTAAGGGTTATTTTTATTTTATTTTGTTTATTTATTTAATTGTTAAAATTGACTTAATTACCTTTTTAATCATATTATTATTTTTTATTTTATTATTATTATTATTAAAAAATTCAATCAATTCTTTAAACAATTCAAAATTTTAAAGTGTAACATGTGTCATTGATTATTATTGATTATTTTGTGACTGTTGTATCTAATTCTATTATAAATAAAATTAAAATTAAAATTAAAATTAATATAAGTAAAAAATTTTACATTACAAGCAAATGTAAAATTTTACATTTTGGATGTAACTTAAACATAATTATTATAAAATTAAGAAAAAATTATCATAAGGAGAACCTTTGATCATAGTTAATTATATAATTGAGATGCGTGATTGTCTCATTTTAGAGACTAAAAATTTTGGTCGAAAGCCCATTTCAGAAGCAGAGAAATGCGCAATGATCCTATAACTATGCACTTCTCACAGGTGGAACCACACCACACTATATATATAAATACACCTTCTGAAACAAGATCAATAACCACCAGTAACACCATTTTTACATCAATCACTTGTATTTCTTTCCTCTTCTCTTCATTCAATCAATCAATCAAACATGTCAAGTGCCCAGCAAAGCTTCAGTGCAGGCCAAACCGAAGGCCAGACTCAGGTGAACAATGCTCAGATTTGCATTTCCCTTTGCAAATTGATCATATATATATATATATATATATATATATATATATATATATATATATATATATATATATTCTTAATTATTGTTGTTGATTATGATTTATTCACCAAAGTGTGGCGTAATCCAAGATTAGACTCAAGGGATAAACCATAAATTTACAGTTGTCAACTTACACCACACATATACAACACTTTGTTTTTATCTTTGCAATTGAAGATATATATTATTCTTACTTTTCAATGAATGTTATTTGAGTATGGTTTAGATTAAGGCCGAAAACTTTGTCGAATCTACCAAGGAATCAGCTTCAGCAGCTGCTGACCAGGCTCATGCAGCTGCCAACACAGCAGGGGAAACTGCTGAGCAACACAAGGAGGAAGCTGCTGGTTTTCTCCAACAGGTTACTATGATTTTTCTGTTTGATAACACCCTTGTTGAATTGTGTTTATTTTGGAATTTAGAATGTGTCTTTAAAGTTTATTGGAATTAAAGTGTAACTTCAAATCTTGTATGATTGATTCATTTTCCATTGGTGAATATTTTACCGGTGAAAAAACCAACAAAGTCAAAAGAAATTATACTTATCAGTATCTGAAAATAGTAGTAAAACACTGATAAAAGAATCAAAAGGTGTATTTTTTTTTTTTTTTAAGTTGTCTAACAAATTCTTGAATCAAAATGTGAAATGTTTTGTGGAAATATAACAATATGTTTCTCTGTGATTTTCAATGCAATCTCAACGTTAACTTTTTACTTAGTTAAGAATTTTTTAGCCAGTGTTCTAAATTTAATTATACCTTGCAGACTGGGGAGCAAGTGAAGAACATGGCTCAAGGTGCTGTGGAGAGTGTGAAACACACACTTGGAATGGACAAGAACTGAAACTAGAGATCATGACCATGTTCCATTTGTCAAAGCGTTTAGCTGACCCTTCAATTCAAATGGAATACAAGAATAATTATATATGTTTCTCTGTTTTTATAGGTTCTTGCTTTTTCCTAGTTGTTAGGGATTAGCAAATTAAGTATTTCATTTTTCATTGTGGAGTTTTCTTTAAGGAAAACCATTTTCATTTGTAATAAAACAGCTTATTTCTATTTTTCTTGTTTTATAGCCAATGTTTATGTTCTATTCACTTTATTTATATTATTTTTTAATTACTTATTTAACACTGATAATTATATACAGATTACTTTTTAGTTCTTAATTTAATTTTTTTTTCAGATGTAGATATATATAAAAAAAAATTATACATATACGAATTGATAAAAAAAAATATTGGATTAAAGCAGAGAAAATCACTTCTTTGGATGTTAAAATCTTCTTCATTAAAATGAGCTTGTGTAAGTGAGCATAAACCTGGCTTAAACGAGTTTCACGTGAAATTATTTCTCAATTCTTCTCTTATTTAATTGTTTAAGTGAGAATTTTTCTGTAAAAGCAAGTTAAAACAAGTAAATGTGATGGCTTAAAAATTAAAATCTCTAAAAAAAAAAAGCATAAGATATGTATTCACATATCATTGTTAAAAATACGATAATTAATGTCCAATACTTTTAAAACCTAAAATAATATTTTTTTATAAAATTATTTTTAATGTTAATCATTATATTTATATAATACGTATTATATATAATAAATAATTCTCTAACTTTTATTTTTAAAGTAATAAATCTCTCCTTAATAATATATAAAATGATATTATATTATTATGTAAACAAAGTCTTATCTACAACTCAACCTTTTCAATTAACAAGGTTTTGTTTTAAAGTTTAAGCACAATCTTTTTAATAAACAGGTCACATCTAAAACACTTTTGAACATCTTATTTGTTATCCTAAAACTTTTTAATACTTCACACATAATTTATTGAATGAGTCAAATTTTTTAAAATGTATTTGAAACAAATGGGCAATAGTGTCTTTAATGACTCTATTCAAGTTAATTTGGAAACAACTCAAAGTTGGTAAAGATCAATAATCTATATTAGCTTAAATATAATTTTTAATTATTGAAATATTATAGTATTTTATTTTTTATCCGGGGAAAAATTCTGTTTTTGGTTTTAATGTTAATTTTTGTTAGTCCTCACAATAATCTATTTTTTGTTTTTGTTTTAATCACTATAATAGTTAAATAGTTTTCTTTAATCCCTATTAAATATCTCTCAAAGAGACTAATTCAAAATTAACAAAATTTTACAAGGATATATATATATATATATATATATAACAAAAGGACTAAAACAAAATAACAAACAAAACCAAAAATCAAAATTTTACCAATTGTGCGATGTATTTTGCAGAAGCAAGTGCAAAACATGATCAAACTCCACTCAAGCCAAATAACAATAAAATTGTCTAGACCACTACAACTACTATCATATTTGTTAATTTGTAATTGTATCTTCTCTTCTCTCAACAGTGCAGTTCAAGAAAGAGGAGATGGGAAGCCAAATGTACACAGACCTTTTTGTACTTGTAAGATAAATGAACAAGAATTTTCACATTTGAAGTGGACATTAATACAGCTACAGCCACTAATTCTAACAAAAATGCTGCAGACTTTACTTCCTAAACTTTGTAATCGTCAAGTGCACACATGTACATGCACTAAGATAATTGAAGTCATTTTGCCATATAAAACTGGCAGAAAAATTGTAGATATTATCAAATGTCTATCAACTAGTTATGCATACAGGTTGGAAGTGCCAAAATTCCTATGTTTACCATCAGCAGTGTTGCTCAGTTGGAAGCCTTGACTAGAAAGTTGGTTGATGAGCAGAGATTCAAATTGGCATGCCAAGCTTTTTCCAGGGACAAGGAAATAAATGAATGATGAATCATGCATTCCTTCCTTTAATCGATGTCTTCGGACCCGGCCCTCGAGATCATCAGTCTATAACATTTCATCCCAACGAAAAATCAACTATTGACAAACATTCACAAGAAAAAAAAAAGGAATCTCTAACAAATGTTTGTGATGAATTAGGAATCTCTACACCTTTGTTTTATTCAATAACTAACTTCCTACATAGCTCAATTTTGTCTAGATGGTGTCAAGTTCTTTTCTCACTTTGTAGCATCACTCAAAGATAAAGGTATAAGTAAAATAAATAAGGAAAAAAGGTTACTTCAAATTATGAAAATATACTAAAGTTGGTATTTACCTCTCCTACATAGAGTTTTTTATCTGGCCTGAACATCACATAGACACTTGAAGAACCTATAACCGATGGAGGTGGCTGCTCCCTTGTACCGATTAGGAGACATTTTATCTCAGTAAGCTCCAATGCAATCTTTTTGCTTTTCCGTTCCATTATATAATCCTGGCATATCACAGTGACAGCTCTTTCAACTTTCTGGCATAAAACTTCCATTTGATTAGCTCCTGATAAGAACCTTTTAGAATGAGGAAGTGTTGCATTTAAATTATTAAAATTGTTGCAAGTAGAAATTTTTTCTTCATTTGGGAAATTTTCCTTCGTATATACTGACTGATAAAGATGTTCAGCTCTTCTGATAATAGGCTCAGGAATTCCTTCCCTCATGGCAGTTTCAAAAGCAAGACTTTCTTTACAGACCCCATCTGTCAGCTTCCACGTAGGTATTATTTGTCCATCAATGGACGCTGCCCCCATTGCTTTGTTCACAGTGTTTTTGATGTTCAGGGGCAAATTAAATATTCCATGCAAGTGAGTGGACACAACACCTAGACAACCAATTCTTTCAAGAGTTTCAATGATGCTACCAGCAATACAAGTCCCTTTTGCAGTTTCTGTTCCTCGGCAAATTTCATCAACAAGTACAAGGCTCCTTTTGGTGGTTCCACCAATGATGGATCGAAGTTCTGACATTTCCACCTGAAACAAATATAAAGATTGATGAAATGTTCAAGGTAATTGTAATTCCATAGAGCAACAGAAAACTATTTAATTTTATTGATAATTTTGTTGACTAGCTTGATAATTCCAGCAAAAAACATGTGCCAAGAAACAGAGAAAAGCATGTTGTATAACCACTGTCTATTAACCATGAATCATTGGAACTATTGCTTGTAGCAAAGCATGTTGCAACAAAGAGTTGCTCATCTTCTTATTGCTCCGTGAACACTTTTGCATCCTCCGGTGACTTGCAAATCCGCTCAACATACCCCAACTTGCCCACTCCACCAACATTTTTTTTTAGAGTGGTTTGTTTTTTTACAGTGTATACAAGGTGGAAATGTGTCACTTTGGTGCTTGTTTAAGCTTTCTGGTTTCCTGTTCTTCCATTTGGTGTTCTTCTTATCTTTGCCTCCTCCTAAGTTTTGTGCTTTTATATGAAAAACACCTTGTATTGTCTCCTCCTTCTCATGTCTCATCGTTCTCCTCTGTTCCTGGGCCTGTAAAACATTTACCAATTCTCCAAGGGTGATTTTTGACAAGTCTTTTGACTCCTCTAATGCTGATATTTTGGATTCATACTTTTCAGGTACAGTAACAAGTATTTTTTGTACTATCCTTTCATCAGGAAAATCGTTACCGAGGAGACGTACTTGGTTTGCGATGCTCAACAGTTTGTCAACATAACTTTGATAGTTTCCTTCTCCTTCATGTTCTGCATCTCAAATTCTCTGCCCAAGTTGAGTTCCTTCATACCTTTGGTTCGTTCACTACCCTGATACTTTGATTTGAGGTAGTCCCAAATTTCCTTCATAGATTTCAAATTCATAATTCTCGTAAATATGATTTTTGATACTGAAGAGAAAAGACAAGCTTTGGCTTTGGCCTTGGCCTTTCTTGTCTTCTTCTCTTTGTAAGTCTTCAGCTACGCCACTGTAGGATTTTCAGACAATGGACCAACTGCATAATCTTCTTCTATCGATTCCCAAAGATCTAGGCTTCAAGATGGACAATCATCCTTGCAGCCCATAGGTTGTACTCCTCACCATCAAAAACTGGTGGTGATATTATGTGTGTTGTGTTTGTTTCCATTGTGATTTATCTCATTCACAGATCCCTCAATGAGAGCTCAGATACCAGTTTGTTGAAATTGTAAAAAAAAGAAGATATGTTTTTCGAAGGATGAATAGTTGTTTATTTTACTCTTTAAATAAAGTTTAAAGTAAAATAAATATAAAACAAATATCCCTTGTTTCTAAGCATAACCCAACGTTACTTTAACATATATTTTCTAAACTGATAAAAACAGAATCAACACTATCCTAAAGAATAGGTCCTAAGCAACCAAAATTATTTTAAAAATTGACTAAACATCCATTTCTGCAGTTATTGCGGCACACGTTCAACAAAACTAATTTGTAATGCAATTCATGTATTAAGCCGGAATCAAAAGAATTCAGGTTGTAGGCATGGTCTCTATACAAATTGCACAAAAGTAAATGTAGTATCTCTAGAAATTTTAGTGTTCCTAGTCTCCTCCTCACCCATGTTGAATCCAAATTCAAGCCCATCCTACCAGTCAATCCCTAGGATTATACTCTCCCCCTCCCCAAGCTCACATGTAGCCCACTCCTCACCATTACCAATAAGGCAGTTAGTCATTTTTTGCCCCCTCTCCTGGCAATGATTAGTTGCCTCATATACCATTTTCCTCTTCCTACACACACCTTGGTAATTTGAACCTGGAGGTTGTATCAACTCTCTCCCCTTTCAAGATTAGCTTCATATCAGGGGTGAAAATCAAGGAAATGCTCCACAACTCAGACCTCCCAGGAATTATAAAAATTGGGCAAGTGTTTCCATTTTTTCAGAATTTCCACAATTCCCAGTGAATTTTGCCTGGCAGCTAACACTTTCTTTTGCCGGATCTTCAACTCGCAATCTTGTACCAGGAATAAAAGGGTGGCTTGTGGTTTCAGTGGCAGCAGATTTCTTAAGTAAGGAAACATGAAAAACTGAATGCACTTGACTTCCTTCAGGAAGTATCAGGCTGCTGATCTTTTCAAAATCTCACAAGTTCCAGGGATTAAGCTTCTGATTCACCATCTTAGCCAAACTCCTCAATTTAGTAAAGAATAAAATTTCTTTATTTGTTATAAAATTTCAACTATTTACCTTGTTAGTTATAATTCATAGAACAAAATGTTTTGTTTGTAATTGCAATGTTAAAATTCCAACATAAAACCAATTGGCAATATGTAAAATGTAAAGTAGCTTACAGGTATTTAAACCATACCACATGACATGAGACAGGCGATATGAGACTTTCAACACGCCCCTTCCAACGAAGCTTGCTGAACCAGGCAAAAGGTATTTTAAGGGCAACTTTTGGCCCAAGACAACAAAGGGTATTTTTGACTATAACCAAAGGGCAACTTTTGACACACAACGAAAGGGCAACTTTTGGCCCAAGACAATAACTAGACATAAGTTAGACTTTAGCTCTGATACCATGTTAAGGTTCCAACATAAAACCAATTGACAATATGTAGAGTAGCTTAACAAGTATTTAAACCATATCACATGACATGAGACAGGCGATGTGGGACTTCCAACATGTAGAATATGATTTTAGTTAGGTTTTAATTTAAGCACATAGATAACTTGTTGGAACTTAAGTGATCACACTTATTGAAGGCCCAACCAAGTCGCCAATTGGCTCATGGAATCACAAGAGTATGGACAACACCATTTTAGGAGCCACTTACAGGAAGCCTTTAGATTATTCATTTTTTAAGGTTTAAATTTTGTTACCAAATTAGCTAGGGAAAATTCAAATTAATGACAAAATTCTAGATTTTCCTTTTCAATTTCAAATTAGGAGTTAATTTAGAAGATTCTAGGCCTTTTAGTTTAGATTCACTTTTAACGTCCAATACCCCTGTATAAGGAGATCTTATCCCTTTGTATCACAACTTTGAATGAATCAGAATTATTTTGAGAAATTGTGAGACTTGTGAGTTCTCTCTAGAATGTGATGTTTTTTCTTGAGTTTCTAGGAATTCAAGTGATAATTCTTTAATTCACTTGTCTTGAGTCTACTTCGCTGACATGATTTTCCATCTCTTTAGTTTCTTTTACTTTTAAAGTGCCATTTATTTTGGTTCATATGTCATCATTGAATCTATGATTCAAGCTTGAATGAATATGGGTTTCGTACCCATTCTTGAACTATGTTCATGAATACCAAGCTAGGAAAAGACTTTTATACTCTATGATTATGATCTTACAATGATTTGATTCCTTTGATTCAAAACTATTACCTAGAATTTAATGGATTGCAAGGGAGGTGCCACGTAGTAAAATATCTCTCTTTCATAATTATTCGGTATTGAAAGCAATTATTTGAATCAATCTGGTTTCAATTGGTAAGTGAAACATTTATTTTGCAATTTCATTGGTAAATTCAATCATTATTTTAATTCGTTGCAAATTCCATCACTATTTCTGTTGCTATTCCATTTCTGCATAAACTGCACTCGTCAAATATATGCTTAGGTTGGGCACGTTTTTGGTCTGATTCTGTTTCTAGTTTTTGTTTGGTGAGCATATATATAACTGGCTGGGTGTGATTTTGGCATGATTCTGTTTAGTTTTCCAGAAGTTGTTCATGAATTTCTGATGGAATTTGTTTCACATTTAAATTCTTTAACGATAGTAAGTATTTTTCTTCAATATTTTAGCTTTGATTTGACTCTTTGTTCATTAATTCCTCAGTTGTTCTTTCTTTCTTCACTCTTATTTGTAAGACATATATTGTAAAGGAAGTAGTAATTCACCTATTCATTTATTGAGGGAGTTTCTTCCACCACAAGTCTTGATTGATTGATTTAATTGGAGGATACACAATTAGAAGTCAAGTGTAGCATCTTTGTTTTGAAAGTTCTCTCAAGCTTGAGCTTAAGCCTTGGATAGTAGTACAAAGCACAAGACAAGCAAGTTACATAGAATGAGTGGAGACCTAACTAACTTCCATTCATTTCAAGTATAATCAGTAAGAAGTAAATCCTAAATTTTCTATTTGTTGTCCAAATTGATTACATTTATTTAAGTAGTTTTATTTCATATCTCTCAACTTGGTATTTTAATTATTAGCTTTATTGTATTGCTTTACAAGTATCTTATAGTATTTCTAAATACATTGTTTGAATTGACTCTTGTAGTCTTTTAAAATTGCTTTTATTATTGTCTCATTTTTAGTTTCGTCATATCTTTTAATCCATTTGGTTTAGTCAAATTTATCCTTTTTTAGTTGTGCATACTTAATAAGTGGGTCACCCATTCCTGTACTTCATGGAGTTAGCAAGATTTTCGTTCAGGTTATGACCTCATTCTGGTGTCGAGTTTGGGTGTAATCAACATTATATAATATTTTACTATGGATGAACATCAGACAAAAGCACGAGCCAATAGCAAACCTGAAAAGAACTCTTTTTATCAGCTGGACTATCATATGACTTCATATGAAGGGTGATGGAGTCAAAATAAGGAATCACGGCTGATTCTGCAGGAACCATGAGTCCACATATCCCAAGTAGTGCAGCAGCACAAATTGAACGAAGTAAACTTGATTTCCCTCCACCATTTGGTCCGGTCAAAATAAATAATGATTGCATATCAACATCATTACGCACAACACCTTCTGCTATGTGGAACCAATACGGTGATAAACCAACTATCTTCATCCCATGGATTGTGTCCAACGACTTCACATCCTGCAACAATAATTTAACATGTAGCCATCACCTGACAAACCCAAACAAGTAATGAATAAAAATAATTGACTATTATATGATAGATTAAAACACATTGCACATCTAAACTAAAAAAAAAAAAATTGTTGCCTAAAGGACTGAGAGATAGTTGTAACTGTCTAACAATAATGACAGTCATTGTTACTGCCTAATCTATAACCTATAAAGCACTAATACTTCAATTTGCTTCACTTATCTGTATCCGAAATGTATTGTGTCGGATCCTTCACCGATACTTCCCTGATATGTGTCAAGAATCCAAACCTTTAAATCATTTATATTCAATAGAGAAACTTTCTATATTAATTTTCATAAACTAAAGAAAAAAGATTGTTGTTATGAAGTATTTTAAGAAATTAATGAGAGTGATAGTCTTATTCCTATATGTAAATAACAGAAAATATTTTATAATCATAATTATTTATATTTTTTATTTCTACAATATCTAAGAAATGTGATTTAAAATTTAGATTTGCATGATTATAGCTTTATAGTTATTATGTTATATCGTATCCTATTTCTTTTTCTTTTTAATATCATCATATCAGATAAGAATCATATCTAATACTCGTATCATATCCATGCATCATAGTCTATAACAGTTGTTGTAACTATCTGATCAAGATACAACCCAAGGTTATACACTATACAGATAATAATTGACAAGTGTATTCTCTACAAACATAAACATTATCCATCAATAAAATAACAAGAGCACTATCAAGTTGTTACATACTACCTCAAACCCATTAGATTCTGCAAGTGTTGGAAAGACCCATCTCCTTCTTCTCCCTTCACTGCAAAATGAACAAAATAAGCATATAATAGAAGTTGCAAGACTGCAAGAGAACACAAATGATTTCATCATTTCAGTTGATAGGTGACATTTTACTACGCCAAATCTCCGTTAAACATTGGAGAGTAGCTATATTTTGTGGTATATTTCATGTATTCAAATAAAAAGATATTAGTTTCAATTAATCTTCTATTCATGGTATCTTTATATAGGTATTCTCAACCTTACTCTAGGCTCGTTTCTTGAGTAGGTTTTGTCATAGTTCCCCAACTCTTTGCATTTTTTTTCTTCATTTTATGTTATTTTGATATGCTGCAAATGATTGATATGAAATAAGATGCCAACCTAGCTGAGAACATATGTTATTCAGTGATGCTTTCGCATTTCTAAAGATTTGGTTTAACTAACTGCTCTGACTTGAAAGCTTAATCATACGACAATTAAATATTTTAGTTTTTGTTGAAATATTATTCAGAATAGATATTCAGTTTTTGGTTTTGCAGTCTTTGGTTCTCTCCTACTTTCCTTAGATAGCTTATGCTAGCCTCTAAACTTTAGGGACTGATTTTGTTGTCCATCTGTATAAATATTGTACAAATAATGTAATGTAATAAACTATTTTCATAATTCTGTTTCAGGTTTTCCAATGACATCAAAGTCGATCATAAAAACATTATATGTGCACTACGAAACAAATGCACATAAATACGGTCTAATCAAATTAAAATTCAATCAACTAACTGAAGACAGATAATAACTAGTAGCGTAAACAGATGAAATAAAAGCTACTTTAAAAAAATTAACGGGCCACAAGGTAAAACTCTCATTGCATTTTATCTACAAAAATAATGCAGAAGCAACTACAAATGTTTATAAACCTTGCATGAGCGAATAAAGCTTTGGCAATAACAAGCAACGTGGATGAAAAGACAAGAATGTTTATATTGTAATGCAACTCAGTAGCGAGTTCCCTTAAAATTTCCAAAACTCGTTCTATTGCTTTGGCATTTGCTTCATGGTACCTGAAACAAATAAACTTATCAACATATACGATTAAGAAACCAAGAATGACGGGAGTTTGACAAATTAAACAATATCATACAATGAGACATTAAAAGAAAAACACACCTAGTTAACGCAGCCTCCACCTTTGGTGTTGTAAACCATTCCTCACCTACCTTTTTACCTTTAGAATCTAAGGCATGCCTAAGCTGTTTAATTTGTTCCTCCCCAGGGCTACCAGCCCACAAATTTGGTGTAAAACGTTTGCCTTTGAACCAAACTGCCTCATGCTCCCGAGCATAGGAAATTTCTCCCCTAGGACCTCCGAGTGGAGCTAAAGTAGCCTTTATTCTAGAAACAACAGGAACAAAATCTTCAGCGACCTGCAATAATGTTCGGACAACATTAATTCAACATAAACAAGACTATAAACATGCTTTACATCCAAATACGTATAGACATGGTTGAGTTACAGAGACCTACGGCTATATGCAAGGCCTCAGCAGCTTTTTGTACTGCAGTAAATACGTCATCTATGTGGATTCTTTTTATTCGACCCTTCCATTTAGATTCCACATCTTCAAAAAACTCATGAGGAATGAGAGAGAAAGAGTTGATTTTCTGATCATTCCCACTATCCAGAGAGATTACTTCACCAATCTTACTAGATGCAACTTCACATCCAGCAACCTGGAAACAAAATAACATTTGAAGGAAAATGAGGAAGGATTGAAGTGCTATTATTTTAATAGTACGTGAAATGCTAAGGGAAGGCCAGAAAATGCTATTTTAATATGCATTAAATCTGCAGACAAAAAAAACTCTCAATGTAATTAAAAAGTACAAAGGAGAGTAAAAACTACGAGTTGAATGTACACGTAAAGTTAGAAGCAACATGTTACACATTTCCGTTTGCGTTCAAAAGTACTATAATTACGCCATGCAAAGTTATCAAACAGATAGCAGTAAATTAGCTAGTGAATATGTTGTAAATAGCAGTTTATTAGTGTTGAAAATTTCACATCAACTAGAGATATAACTAAATTATAATATATAAGTGACTGTAAATCTTACTTTCCAAATAAGTTTTGTTAAGCTTATCTCGTGTTACCCGTTATCAGCCCACTAACAAACCACCCCATATATCTAGTTTTATGATCGAGATATTCAATCCTCGGTGTGAGGGGTTATTGGACATCTCACATCAACTAGAGATATGACAAAAATTCTTGTATATAAGTAGGTATAAACCTCACCTTATAAGCCGACTTTGTGAGGTTGAGCAATCCTTAAAGTTCACTTACTAACAATTAGGATAAAAATAGCTCCGGATCTCCTATTAACTTTGGATAAAATATCTTTAGAATATTCTTAACTATTTCAACATATTTTGTTTCCTTATGTTAAAGAAATTAGTAGAGGTGCCGCCAATGTAATTGGTATGATTGTTATCAATAAAATAATTTTTGTTTCCATGCATAATTCAAGTTGTTATTAGAGCTTCCGATCTTGGATAATCTATTTCAATTATCGAGCAAACAACAAAACAAGGACGTGTCATCACTGTTCGCTTAATTGTTGGTCATCACAATGTCAATAGTTGCACCTTTAGATGATTAGCCACAAAAAGTGTGGCTAGGACCCTCGAGTCCAGTCCAGTCCAAGGGGCAGTGACTTCCTATTTGGCTCCATTTTGAGTACTTATGAGATTTCTACTTTTGCCAAATGAGTTCCCTTTGTTATGACATTTATTTTATGGTAAAGAAGCAATAAAGGAGGTGAAAATCATCCCTTTGGACCCTAATGATCTTCCACATGTGTTAGGTCCTTATCATTTTGATGGCCAAAATTACTTGTAGTGGACCCAATACATTTGCAGGATTCTCTAGGGACATTCAAGATTAGAGCACACCAAGGGTGGAGAAGCAATGCCAACTGACTCTAATTTTGCTATTTGGGATTATAATGATTCATTGATTATGACCTAGATGTGGCATTTCAAGGTTCTTGAGATGAGTCGAAACTATATGTTTTAGTCCTCTGCTAAAGAGATATGGAAAGAGTAAAATAACACGTTTTCATGGAAGGAGAAATTTGTTGCCTGCTATGACATTGAGGGTAGGGTGTTTAACACCAAACAGGTTCTCAGAATATCATGGAATCTTGAATGTGTTGTAATTTGAACTAGATTATTGCAAAAATTTGAAGATGTGTAAAGCAAATGCTACCGCACATGCTGATACCTTGGAAAGAGAAAGAAACTTTTAATTCCTACAAGGCCTGGATTGAGTATGACCTAATTAGGGTGCATATATTAGGGAGAGGAAAATTACCACCCTTGTCATAAGTGTTTTTTATTGTTGGGAGAAGAAACTCAAAGTGTTGTCATGCTTCATGGAGAAATCTCCAACACAGTCTCTACCGCAACAACGAGAAAGAGGTCCACAAGGGATTTAAAACTAACGGGAAGTTCTCTACAAAAAGCAATCATGGAGAATATTGCTCATACAATAAAAGATCTTGGCATATTAAGGAAACTTGCTTGCTTCAAACTCCATGAAAGATATAAAATTCTTGAATGCATGGGATGTAACAAAGAAGGAAAAAAACCCATTTTGGCTGTGCAACAAGAGTTGTCTGACCCGGAGGTGAGGATCCTAGAAGATCGCAATCAGGAAGTAAGTGAGTTAACCCATTGCAATGAGAAAGCCAAAAAGGTCATGTGCTAAATATTGTATTTCTCAATATGTCTACACTGACAATTTCTCTAATAAGCATCGAAGCTTTATTGCTGCCATTAATGTCACAAAAACTCCAAACTCAATCCAAGAACCCGTGAAAAGTTATCATTGGACTCAAGTCGTGAGAGGAGATGAATGCATTAGAAAAAAATTCAACCTAGGAGATTTTTGACAACCAAGAGACAGAAGAGTGGTAAGGTGCAATTGAATATTCCTAATGAAACATAAGACAAATGAGAAAATGGACAAATATAGAGCATATTGGTGGCAAAAGACTACACTCAAATTTGTGAGATTGACTTTGAGGAGACATTTGCTCCAATGGCAAAAATGAATACAATTCGCATTGTTCTTGCTTTGGCAACTCATTTTGGTTGGGACTTACGCTAATTGGATGTAAAAATTGTTTTTCTTCATGGAACTTTAGAAAAAGAAGTGTAAACAACTCATTTTAGTTGGAATTACACCAATTAAATGTTTTTCTTAATGAAACTTCAGAAAAAAAAGTGTAAACAACTCATTTTAGTTGGAACTTACATGTGAAAAATGTTTTTCTTCGTGGTGCTTTAGAAAAAGAAGTGTAAATGTAGATTCCCCCGGGATTTGAATTTCAAAATAGAAGGAACAAGGTGTGCTACCTAGAGACGGCCTTATGGTCTTGAGAAATATCCAAGAACATGGTTTGGGAGATGTACAAAAGCAATGATTTCCTTAGATATAGGCAAAGCCACGGAGATCATACTTTATTCATAAAGCACTCCCCTACTGCTAAATTCGCTATACTACTTGCCTATGTGGATGATATAATTATTGTAGGAGATGATAAAATAATAAATTTTTAAAATGAAAAATTGGCAACACAAATTGAAATGTAAGATAAGGGAAAAGTCAAGTCCATTATGAAATAGAGGTTGCTTATTCCAAGAAAGGAATATTCATTCCCCACATAAAATATGTACTCAAGAGTTCTCCCATAGAAAAGACTACAAGAAAGAATTTGGGGGTGTAGAACTCAAGAGTTCCTACTGAATAGAATTATAGAATCGGAAATGAAGAGAGTTCTCCCATAGAAAAGACCCATTATTAAAAATGGGTAAGGAAACTAATTTATTTATCACCCGTAAGACTAAAAATTCTCTAATACTTGAAGTCAAGCACAGGAAAGGGGTTGTTGTTCAATAAGGAAGACACTTTGACCTTGAAGATATATATTGATGTTGATTATGAAAGTTTGATCATTTTACACAAAATCTACCTTTGGGTACTGTATGTTTCTTGGAGAAAGTTTGGTAACTTGGAGAAGTAAAAAACAGGATAAAGTATATTGTTCTAATGCAGAAGCTGCCAAGCTAAATTTGGAGCTTTTACTCAAGGTATGTATGAAGGAATCTAAATGAAAAATAATTATGGATGACCTTAAAATCAAGGTAGACACCTATGCAATTGTCCTGTGATAACAATTCAACCATGAGCATTACATTACCCATAATCCAGTATAACATGACAAGACCAAACATAATGAAATTGTCAGGCACTTCATCAAAGATAATCTAGACAGAGGCCCTTGTTGTTACATCTCATATCCTTACAAGACTTTAAAACAGACATGTTCACTAAGGAGCTTGTGAGAAATCAAATAGTATTTTAGGAAAGAATAAATAAGGAAATTTGTATATTTCCTTGTAATCTGTACAGATTTGAATAATTAGGAACAATCCCATAAATCAAGGGATCCTAGCATAAAATAGAGTTATTATATTTCCTAAAATAGTTTAGGTCTCTTGTATATATCTTATATCATCTCTTTGTATTGAAATAATAAAATAAATCATATTTCAGTTAATATATTTTTCCAGATGGTATCAGAGCTTCCGATCTAGGAAGCTCTGTCTGCGCTCGATAAACCCTAAGACGGCAGCCTGTATTGCTACTGCATATTTTGTAACCCTAAGACGGCAGCCTGCATTGCTGCTGCATTTTTCTTAACCCTAAGACGACAGCCTACATTGCTACTGCATTTTTCTTAATCCTAAGACGACAACCCGCATTGCTGCTTGCATTTTTCATAATCCTAAGACGACATACTGCATTGTTGTTGCATCGCACCTTTTGCTATAATGTCAAGGGAAGAGGAGATAGAAAGGGTGAAAACCATTCTTAGTAAGTCTGGAAAAACCTACAGGTATGTGTTCTTTGGCATACTCGGGTAAGTTTCCACCTTCTTTTGGATTAAATGTCTCGGATACGTCTTTTAACCATTATTGGATATTGGACTCGGAGCCACAGATCACATGACACCATTAGCCAAACACTTCTCCACATATTCCCCATGTCCCAAGCAACAAGAAAATTGCCACAAGCAGATGGAACCCTTATAACTGCAGCTGGTCAAGGAAATATCCAAATCAATCCTTTAATAACCTTAAAAGACGTTCTCCATGTCCCAAAGTTGTCCACGAACCTAGTGTCTATACAAAAACTTATAAAGGATTTGTCATGTAAAGTTGTTTTTTCCAATGATCATTGTGTATTTCAGGATAAGGATTCGGGGAGGATGATTGGACATGCTAGAGAATGGAATGACCTTTATTATCTCGAAGATCTAAGTCTCGCCCAAGCAAGAATAGAATCTCTCACTCCTTCATATCTCGAATCCTTGATGACCAACGAGAGAAAAATCATGCTTTATCATTGTCGGTTGGGACATCCCTCTTTTGGAGTGATCAAAATTATATTTCCCTCTCTGTTTATCAAGTTAGATGTCGAGAGTCTTCATTGTGAGGTGTGTGAACTTGCTAAGCACAAACGTATATCTTTTCCAATAAGAAATAGAATTATCAATTTCTCTTTTTATCTTGTTCATACTAATTTATGGGGACCTTCTACTATTCCAAATGTGTCTGGTGCTCGGTGGTTTGTCACCTTTATAGATGACTCTACAAGGGTCACTTGTGTTTTCCTACTTAAACAAAAATCAGAAGTCAATTCTGTCTTCCTAAACTTTCACTCCATGATAAAAAATCAGTTTGGTGTTAATATTAAGAGGCTTAGGTTAGATAATGCCAAAGATTACTTCAATCATGTCCTTAATTCTTTTTGTCAAAAAGAAGGTATAATTCATGAGTCCTCTTGTGTCAAAACACCACAACAGAATGGGGTCGCAGAGAGGAAAAATGGACATCTATTAAATCAGACTCGGGCATTGTTGTTCCAAAAAAGTGTCCCAAAAAAATTTCTAGGGGGAAGCTGTCCTTACAGCAACATACCTTATCAATAGACTACCCTCTAGAGTCTTAGGATCAAAAAGCCCTATGGAAGTTTTGTCGTCTTTCTATCCAAACTTGTCTACTACAAATAATCTTAAACCAAGAGTTTTTGGGTGCATCTCATATGTCCATATTCATAGTACGGACGGGGAAAACTTGATCCTAGAGCCTTAAAGTGTGTCTTTGTTGGTTACTCACCCACTCAAAAAGGGTATAAATGCTACCACCCCCCATCCAAAAAATTCTTTGTGTCTAGGGATGTTACCTTCAATGAACAAGAGGGCTATTTCCATCAACCTTATCTTCAAGGGGAGAGTTTCGTGGAAGATAAGGAAAGTAGTGATTCTGGTTTTCCCATTCTTCCGGACTTGACATTTGAACCTAAACAAAATCATATTGAAAGTAGTAATTCTGGTTTTCCCATTCTTCCGGACTTGATATTTGAACCTAAACAAGATCAAATTGAAGATCAAATTGAAGTTGTAACAAATGAAACAAGTCAAGGAATTGGTCAAGCAAAGGAAGTTGGTCAAGAAAGTGAAATTAATTGTGAAGCTGATCAAGAAGATGTTGAAACTGGAAAATTTGGTAAGAAGCTGGTGTACTCAAGGAAGACTAAGGCCGTTCCAGGATCAAGCCATGTTCAAGAATCCAACTCGACTCCACAAAAAGAGGTAACAATTTTTTCTCCAATATGCAGGGTTGAAATTGAAACCCAAAATGATCCCGACCTCCCAATTGCCATTAGAAAAGGAACAAGAAAATGCACCAAACAGACCACTCTACCCTCTCTCAAATTACCTGTCCTTTAAAAATTTCTCTCCTACCCATAAAACCTTCCTAGTAAACCTAAACACCGTACTTCTACCTAATACCCTATCTCGAGGC